TCGATGCCGAAACCTATCGAATCAAGTCCGATTGACCTCAAATTATGCAAACAAGTCATAAATAACATAACGGACCTATTTCAATTTCCAGAATTGGATTCCGACCCCGATATCAAAAAGTCAACCCCCCGGTCAAACTTTCCAAAAATTCAACTTTCGGCATTTCAAGCCTAATTCCACTACGGACCTCCAAATAATTTTACGGACATGCTCCTAAATCCAAAATTATCATACGGAGCTATTGGAATCATCAGAATTAAATTCCGAGGTAGTTTACATATAAGTCAATATCCAGTCAACTTTTCCAACTTAAGCTTCCAACATGAATATTCATTCTTCCAAGCTAACTCCGAAATACCTTAAAACCAAAACTAAAAATTCATACAAGTCATAATACCTCGTAGGAAGTTATTCAAAACTTCAAATAGTTGAAAGAAATGTAAATGCTCAAAACAACCGATCAGGTCGTTACAGTCATCTTGGTGAGTAGGCAGATTTGAAGGCTCACTCACACCAGTTGAACCATATCTTAAGGTGTTAACTCTTGTCATAGATGGAAGACTTGGTTCTTGTCTCACTTGAAGCCTTGTCCTTGTCTCTAAAATAATTTTTGGCCTTATAGAAGGGTCTTCTTCATTTGCAAATTCTGGAGGTAAAGGTCTCCTACTAGTAACATCTCGGAGATTTGAAATTCTATAAAAAACAGTTGGGGTAGGAATGAACACAAGTGGACTGCTGGAGGCTTGACTATTTTGAGATTAATGGGGACCCGATAATGGTATTTCTTCATCAATGTCTTCATAATCTACAGTACGTTTCCTTTTCATTGCCTGCTTTCCTTTAGATTGAGCATTAGATGGCTATCATAAATAAATAACAAATTGTTAGATAATAGAAAGTCTACTGTTAAAGACTAATAAGTCCAGAAGTGCCGCTGTGCCAGTGGAAATCTACCAGTACCCGTTGAAGTGAAATCCGCTTCAGCATCATCAACAGACGCAGAAGAAATGGAAAAAATAGGATTTGTGGACTCGCCTCAGGATGGAGGGGAAGCTACTGTGGAAGAAGGCAGTTGTTGAGCAAGTGACATTGGTTGAAGTTCAATATGAATATGCATCATCAACTGGAGAAGAAAGATGAAGATNATTGTACACCCTTTTGCATTATGATTTGGTTCTCTACAGTTGCTGCAGTTCATGGTTCTCCTTTTTCTTGAAGCAGGCCATTCACCTTGTCTCTTGATTGCCTCATCGTTTTGCCTATTTCTCTTCACCTTAGGCTTGCCAGCTAACTTCACCAAATGTGGTGGTTCCACGGCCTGTGATGGGTCTATTTTTCAGAATTTCACACCCCTAACTGGCTGCAACTTATGTGAATAAGTCTTTAGAGCAACCTTTTTGCTATACCACCAATGCATTTGCTCCAGAGGGTCATTCCTCTGGTATTCTTGAGAGTTTTCATTGCATGCAACTGCATTGCTTCACTTCCATTTTGACAATATTTTTATCTGCTCCTTCTCTAATCTCATAACCAGCATCTCCATTAAAGTGAACCAAATATGTGTGAGCAATCTTCAAATAATCAGCATACAATTTCATGTTTTGTGGACTGAAGTCACGAGTCCATGACTTCACTTGATCTTCATGTTCTCTCAACAAGGTCATAACCTTAACTCTAATGTCTTCCAACATCTGGATTATTGGTTTATACCTTGCATCCAAGATCCATGCATTGAAGGACTCTATGGTGTTATTGTCCACCGTCATATTCTTGCACACGGTGTCAAAATAAGCTCTACATGATAATGTAGCAAATCTCTCATAGCATCTTCATCCATATCCCCCATATTTTTCAATTGGTCTTGAAAATCCTCCTCATTAGTGCTCCATGCACAACACAATATCTATGGTTAGCTTCAGGAAGTGATGTTCTCATTACCTCAATCATACCCTACAAGTCATGAGCAAACAGAAAAGAAAAAAGTTTAAACTATAAAAAATAGAAAGTTTACTTGCTATAAAAAAACAGAAAACAACTGAAATGAACTATACTACTAAACTATGAAAAAACATAAAGTTTACTGAAATAAGCTATAAAAAAATAGAAAACAACTGAAATGAACTATACTACTAAACTATAAAAAAACAGAAAGTTTACTGAAATAAACTATAAACAAACAGAAAACAACTGAAAAGTACCTTTTGCATGTCTGAGATGAAAGTGTATCCTTCTCCATTCTATGCCAATGACCCTTTTAGCAATCCCAAAAACTAGTCCCAAGTCCTCTTTATTTCTTTGTCCACTACAGCCCATGTTATAGGATAAAAATGGTTCATTGAGTCTTGACCAACAACAACTAGAAGTTGTCCTTTAGATTTTCCCTTAAGAAATGTCCCATCCAATCTAGTGAAAGGCCTCAAACCAGCTTTAAACCCCATCTTCAGTGCATTGAAACAGATATACATTCTTAAAAATCTCCTCTTACCTTCAGCTAGTGCATTTTTTGACAAGTTAATAACAATATCACTTCCGGGATTACTGATCTTCAACTCATTGGCATATGCCTCTAGCTTATTATACTCATCTTTAAAACTTCCTTCCAGCTTATTAAGAATCAATGCTTTTGCCCTCTTACATTTTCCATGACTAACATTTAACACAAATGCATCTTTCAGGTTAGCCCTCATCTCTTTCACTTTATATTTTGGATTATTTTGTAACTTTTTCTTAAAATAATATACAATAGTACAGTAGTCAACAATACTATTATCATAAGCAATATAACAGTCATGATATAGGTTTAAGGTCTTGATTCTTACCCCTGGACGGTTCCCATCTTTAGAGATTAAACAAACAAATGGGCAGCCAGTTTGACACTCATACCTAAGCCTTGTTGTATCAATTTTTTAAAGAACTATCTCTTTCTTATTTGCCATAACATAGAGTTTTAGACACTTCCTAGGTTCAGAGATGTACTTGAAGATCATACTCTTGTCTAGTTCCTTATAATCAAAGAGCTGATCAGTAATGCTCATGTTTCTTTGAGTTGCAATAGTATCTAATTCTTCAGAATCATATTCTGAAGACTCAGAATCATACTCATCACTATCCTCACCCTCAGTTGAGCTACAGTAAGTAGCAGCCTCATAATCAGGTACTACAACCTCATCATATTGAGTAATATTAGGTACTTGGACTGACATCTCACATTCCTCAACATCAAACTAATTAATAATATTATAATCAGTATCAACCATTTCTATCAGGCACCTAATACCACTATCCCCTTTAACTTCATAGTAGCTACTAGAAGGGGCAGAAACTATAAGTTGTTGAACACCAATAAACCCTAATTCATTGCAAAACTCATCTACAATGTCTTTATAGGAAAGATTGTCAAAGTCATAACCTGTCCAAGTGTGCAACAAGTTCTTAGCATACTTCACTTGTGGCTCTTTACTCCATTTCCCACCATAGATGAATATTATGTCCAGATTAACCATATTGTTGATCTGAAATTAAATAACATAAAGAAAGATTAGATGATGAATGATAACAAATTGTAAGAAAGTTGAGCTAAGAAGACCGACCACAAACTAAACTAAATTAACTCATTACCGATCCATGCATTAAATAATACCATATAAGAATAATAAAACAAAGAAAAACACATTAAAAACAATAAAGTTCACATAACCTAAACCACCATAGCCATTAAACCATCTCCAAAACTCTAAACCACCCAAAGAAAATAGAAAAATGGGACCAGCACATCAACCAAAACACTAAATGTGTAAAAGAAATACAAAATCACTAAAATAATCGGATTACCCCACATTCAGGACCATTAGTGAGTAATATTACCCTACATGCAGTAAAGTCAAAATTTGGCCCATAAATAAAAAGCCAAAAGTTGCATTAGAATAATCAAAAATTGCAGTAAAAATCATATATAAATCAACCCATACACGAATCCCTAACTAAAATGATAAAATCAGAAAATCCTAAACCCTAAAATCGGCGAGATTAAACCTGTAAAATAAACGCTAACTTAAGACACATTACTACAAAAATTATAGGCTAACAAGAATGAATCTATCGTTTTGGAGGAATTTTAGTACCTTTACACCATAGAAAATTCAAGAATCGGCAGATGGATGGAGTGTCGTTAATATCGGTGGTCTCTTTGATTTGGGTGTAATGAAATAAAAAGGCTGAGGAGAATCTATTTAAATGAACTCGTTAAAGGGTTACGGATCAGGTCGCGCTTGGGTTCAGACCGGGTGCAAAGATGGGTAACCAAACGATAATTATAAATAAAAAAAAAGGTCGGGTGTCTTAAGATTGATCCACGTGTCTATTTCGACTGGGTCCATTAATGAGAGGGTAGATTTATCAATAACTCTAACGGCAGTGATAGAAAAGGTTGAATAGTATAACGAGGGTAAAAATAACTAATATACAATAGTACATGGACATGAATGGCCCTTTCCGTAGATCATATGTTTGTCAATTTTTTCAATTTTTACTAAACATATATTTAGTTATCAAAACTTTAATAAAGTAAGATTAAAATAATATTCATGTAACAAAAAACCCCTGAAAATCTGACAAAACTGAATCAATTGATATAGTTGATTTGGTTTAATTTTGATAAAAATCGAACCAATTGGGTTTATGTACTAATCACAATATACCTGTTTCTTTCTTTTATATGGAGGATAAATCATAGTCTTACATAAATCTTCTTCCCTTTTTTCATGTCGATGAAATAACATTACTAGTAATACATTCCATAAAACAAGTACCATATTAGAGCCAACCCTCTCTTTTAATTAATTTGCAAATTTTTCTCCATGTCTTCTCATGAAATTATGGCTCAATTTAGCTTGTCATTTACTCTACTCTTACTTTCCTCGTCTGGTTACACTTTATTCCAAGAGCTGTAAAACACACAAAAAAAGGAATAAAAATAGAAACAAAGACTTTATTCTCGGAACCAGCTTTTAAAGACCACAATAAAAATTGAAAGAAAATAAAGAAGTGAGAGAAACTGAAAAAAAGAGAGAAAAAGAGTGTGTGTCTGTGTGTTTTCTCTCTTGTGTCAGTTTCTGCTTAGCTTCTCAAAATCTGTTGTCCCTTCAAAATTCCTCTTCTGTTTTCTGCTTTTTTCCTATCTTCAGCTCTTTTTGCTTATTATAAGCATAATTTACTTTAGTTGTGTTCAAACAAAATTGTTCCCGTGATTTCAGAGCTTTTTGCAGTGTAATATTTTCTGGTATTGTCAGAAAAAATGAATGTGTGATTAATTATTCTTGGAGATTACAGAACTAGCACAATTTCAAGAATGGCCTGTTTTTATTCACTATTTGCATTACTATAGTTTACATGCTCAAAAAAAGCTCAAAGCTGGAGTCTTTTGTATCTCTTCTAATGGCAAACTGTAAGTCTTCTTATTATATTTGTTTAAATAATTTGGCTTTTAGAATTTTATTTTTCTGCAAAGTTTGGATTTTTATTGAACATTTGTGGTTGAGTTCTGTCCACATTTTCATTTTTTCTGTTGGCCACTTTGATGTTTTGTCTTGTTCAAGAATTGGTTGAAACTTTTTGTTCACTTCAAAAGTTTCAATCTTGTTGTAAGATCTGATATATTACTGGTAATTCTTACAAGTTTGAAGCTGTGATTCTCTCATAATTTCTCCTTTTTTTAGTCCAAGTGTAATTTTCCTACCCTTAGGGCTCGTTTTGTACAAGGTACAAGGGATAATTAATCCGGTGATTAAATTTGAGATGATGTGTGATAAAATTGCGGTATAACTAATCAGCGAATTGTAATGTTATTTTTTACCCTTTGGGAGTGTGGAATAACAATCTCGGGATAACTAATCCCGGGATAAATCCTCGGATAACTTGTTTCCCAACCCGGGGGTGTAATTACCTGAATTTTGATGTCCTTTTCTTTGGAAAGTAGAATTTCAGAACTGGGGTTTGTATGAAATATTTGGAGGAATGAAGTTAACTGTTAATGCCTGAATCCAAATACTAATCATAAGAGTAGCAGAAATAGCTCTCTTTTTTTCCAAGGAACAGTGAACTGTTTATTTCTTTGTTATGTGGTGATTGCCTGTCCAAAAAGGACATAATTTTTATTTTTTTAGATTTATGTTATTTTGGGGATATTTATAATTTTATGGGATCTGCTTACTTCATAGCTTTTGATTTGGCCTTTGTAAGTTCCTTTTCAAACAGTCATTTTATCTTCCTTTCCCTTTTTCGACTTGTGAAGTCATCAGAATGAGAATTAGGAACTTCTCCACGTTTACAGTTGAAACCAGTAGCCAAGTCATCAAAGATAAAGAAGTGTCAACTCCATTTACTGCTTTTCAACTTAGGTAAAAATTTCCATTATATAGTTAAAGGTAATAATTGACGTGTCTTTTTGTTTTTGTTTGGGGAAGGCTAGTTATGGTTAATGGCTAATGAATAGTCTTTGTCTGGTTATGTTTGTATTACCGGACAATTAGATTACTTATATCTGTAGTGTCTTAGCAAATATCTACCAAATGAGCTAATTAATTGATATTGTACTCATTCCTGGGAATTAAATGCCGAGTAAAGAGGATTATATACTAGATTAGTTGTTTCCCACTAATGCCACAAAGTGGACTTTCTTGGAAATGAAAGAGATGGGTATATATTTTTATTCTTTTAGTTCCCTCTCTCATCTTTCTCTCAACTGAAGATTCCTTCTCAATAATCATTTTATGGAGAGTTCCTCACAACTGTTCAAAGTTCACTTACCTGTGTTTGGTTTAAATACTCATTTGTTAATTGAACAATTCAAGGTTTCATTGAGAAATCGTAGAAAGGCCTTGCCGCAAGCTGTATCATAGATCAGCTAACATGACTAGTAAAAGCAGGCTGTTAGCTAAATAATTTCTCTACTGTAATACACAAAAGAGCCTGCAATTGTCGATATCTCTGTTTTAAGAAATTAAAAAGTGCATGGACCAAGGGTTGTAATGTGCTACCTCAAGTGCAATGGGTTGGTCTTGTTTTTGGACTGGCAGCGCTAGCAAACATGACAGCGCTTAGCAATCATGTGGTTACTAGTTCTAACTTAGAAATTTGAGACAAACTTGTGTATAATCCAAAGTTCTGTATGTCTGTTCGAGTTTTGGAGGTGACAAAACTAGATACGTCTCGTTGTCGTTAGCGGGTCCAAATTGTAATTATTGTATAAGTGCTTCAAATATTAAGCAGCATGATATGTTCTTTTAGATGGAAAGCATGCTCTAGTGCTTTACCCTTTTGTTCTGTAGTTCTCATATGTAACTGATGTCATTGGTTGATACATGGAAACATTGGTGCAAGTTTCACTTAAATCTTTGGAATTATATTTTACGAAATCAAACAGCTATGATTTGTGATCTTTGCGTCTTTCAGTTCTTGACCTATCATTCTTTCATTGGTATATTATTAAGTTTGTCTTTGCATTGTTTCTTTTCTTAGTTGTTCTATAGACTGACGACTTAAACTTTAATATGAAGCCTTGTGCTTTTCTATTCATGCAGATATTCAAGACGGCAGTGGGTTTTGAGTGATTTTTTATTGCATAGTAAAAGGAAAATGACATTAAAATCAAAGAAAGGATGGAAATCAGTAGTGCCCCTCCGTTTGAAGACCAAATCATCAGCAAATTTTTGTTTGCTCCCCAGAGTGAAGTCGGATCGTTTTGGTCCTGGTGAGACACCAGTTTGTCTCAACGTGTATGACTTGACACCTATGAATAACTATGTCTATTGGGCTGGCTTTGGTATCTTCCATTCTGGTGTGGAAGGTAAGAGGCATTATTTAGCTTTTTTCTCTTTACTTCTTTTTAGTTATTCACTGTTACTTATGTCAGAATGCACCTAGGCGAAGTATCCTTCTTGTAAATATATGGTTCTATATGGATTCTTTTTCCTATCTTATATGTTGATTTTACTAATTGTTTAACGAGGGATTGCGTGACAAGGTGGGTTGCTCTGATGGTAAGCACCCTCCACTTCCAACCAAGAGGTTGTGAGTTCGAGTCACCCCAAGAGCAAGGTGGGGAGTTCTTGGAGGGAAGGATGCCGAGGGTCGTTTGGAAACAGCCTCTTTACCCCAGGGTAGGGGTAAGGTTTGCGTACACACTACCCTCCCCAAACCCCACTAGTGGGATTATACTGGGTTGTTGTTGTTGTTGTTTAACGAGGGATTGCATCTCCAAGATTATGTTTACTTATTATCATATGCTTGTCTGTCTCGCATGTCATTTAGCTATTACGAGATTAAAGAATTTGTGATGATTAAATTCAGGATATGTCACTTGCCTCTAGGGTATATTCATTTTGTGTCTTAATTTAGTAATGGTGGTCTCGCTAGAACTGAGAAGCTGCTAATTCAATTCGAATTTCAATTTGATTGGTACATATATATATATATATATACTATGCATCACAGTTTGTTCATAGACTTTTACTTTTGACGTGTTATAGAACTTGGCACTTCTCAGTTCATCTTGGGATGTTTTCTGAAGAAGAGAATGCTGGTTCTATAGTATTCCCAGCCAATAGATTAATTACCTATTTTCATATATAGTTTTTGTTGGTACCTGCAATCTGTTTCTCGTAGAAAACTGCATTTTCTGCAAGTTCATTGAGTCGGTTTAATGAAACCTCAAGGTTCTCTTAAAATTCCACTAGCTTATGACGCTTGAGATGAACTTTGAAATGATTTTATACTACTGCTCGGAGACGTTTCTAATGCAAAACTTAGATGCATCAGAAACTATTTTTTGGCTATTAAAAGTTACTTAACAACTGCTCTTCCACTCTTAATCTAGGCAACCTCATACGAATGTGCACTCCAGTTTTGTGAAATGAACAAGTGAGAGCTACGCTTTATAGTTACTTCGTGTTTGTGTGTTCATGGTGGGATGTCATATTGAAGGGGAGCCTTGACATAACTGGTAAAGTTGCTGTCATGTGATCAGGAGGTCACGGATTCGAGCCGTGGAACCAGCCTCCTGCAGAAATGCAGGGTAAGGCTGCGTACAATAGACCCTTGTGTCCGGCCCTTCCCCAGACCCCCGCATAGCGGGAAGGTGCACCGGATTGCCCTTATGGTGGGATGTCATATTGATATATAGACACTTTTGCTATTAAATGGAGAACTTTTTTTTGAATTCAAACGTGGATAAATAAGTGTATTGTCTCTAGACATACCAATGAACCTGGTAGTTGATCCGCTGCCAAAAGCAGTCTCTGTTTTCTATCTCATATTTTTGAATTTAACCTAATGTAACCTGTACTTCACAGTTCATGGTGTAGAATACGCATTTGGAGCTCATGACTACCCGACCAGCGGTGTCTTTGAAGTTGAACCGCGGCAATGTCCAGGATTTAAGTTTAGGAAGTCGATATTTATTGGGACCACAAAGTTGGATCCCCCTCAAGTTAGAGAGTTTATTGAACATCAAGCTGCTGCCTATAACGGTGACTCGTATCACTTGATTGTGAAGAACTGCAACCATTTTTGCAAGGATATATGCTACAAGCTGACAGGGAAAAAGATTCCGAAATGGGTGAATCGACTTGCAAAATTAGGTATCCCTTTGCCATTCCACCTCTTTTTCATTTTTTTTAACGTGTCATAATAACCTTATATTAGTTTTTCTGGGCTTTTGTTTGTTGTTGTTACTGATCTATTGTCTCTTTTCGTCTTCTTGAGCCGAGGATCTTTCGGAAACAGCCTCTCTACTCTTCCGGGGTAGGGGTAAGGTTTGCGTACACACTACCTCCTCAGACCCCACTTGTGAGATTTTACTGGGTTGTTGTTGTTGTTGTATAACCTTATATTAGCATTTAGCCGTCACGGATATCTCCTGATGTAGGAAGTATGCTCCTTTTCATGTCTGTCTGAAAATATAACATTGTTTCGATCCCTAAGGCAGAACAAAGCCTATTATTTAAATGGAGAAAGGGTATAGGGGGGAGCCTATTATCCACCAAGTTTGGAACCGTGTTCCATTGCCCCTCAGGATTTTTCGGCTATAAGAAAAAAGAATAACATTGTTTTTTGAGTGCTATCATATTTTAACAAAGATTAGTAACTATTGTGTATGATATGCTCTTTTTTTGTTGGTCTGCATAGGTTCTGCATTCAACTGCATGTTACCTGAGGCTTTGAAAGTTGCTGCTGTCGAAGACGAACCTAATGGCCCAGAATACGTTAGTGAGAAAAGAAGGTTGAGAAGTACTTTCAGTTGTCTTTCTTCAATTTCAACAAGACAGCAGAAGTTATCTACATCTTCGATGTTTCTACAGTCACCCCTTAAAGGCTGCTTACCTTCTTGGGAGTTAAGAAAGTCTACGAATCGATCTCTAAAACAAAGGTAAACATAATGGAACCTTTTGTGATCACATTTCCCTTGGAATATCCTGAAGAAGAAAATATGTGAAGCTACACCATGTATTTTAAGAAAACAAAGAAATGATTGAGATTAGCTTACTTTAAGAAGGTGTACTATTTGTATGTGGCATTGCAGTGTATTGTTTGATCCCTTATCTTTAGAGTAATTTCTGTCTCGTTCATCGATTGATCACGCGAGTATATCAGGAAAAACACGTACATCCTGAATTCTCTTCCTCGAGAAAAAAGCCTATCAATTGATCTCTATTCATTCGGTCAAGGTTTCCACTTTTCACGTCGTTCTACTAAGAGACGCACCATGTTGAGAAATCACCAATCCCTTGGAGCAGAATATTTGCCATTTAAGTCTGGTGATATGCTGGGATGCTATACTGCATATGACTTGTGCTCTTTTACAGTTTAGGCTTTTAGTTTTTACTGCAGAATGTTGCAGTTGTACTACCATTTCTACTGTTAAGTTATCTTAATTTTGTCTTCGTAAAGAATTAAATAGAAGGTAATGTGAGTTCAAAAGATCAGGACTGGTGCTCATATAAAATTTTGCGTTATTTTTATAAATATTAATCTGAAAAGGAAAACAAAAGTTCGAGCATTTAACGTTGCTCATATTAATATTAATAGAAGAAAAATATGTTTAACTTAGCAACCATACAGGAAAAGCAAGTAAATATGTGGATATCAAAAGAGGGACCACTTTAGCTTGCGGCATATACAAATGGATATTAAATACAGAATATGTTCGTTTTAATAGAAGTCACTTATTTTGGTTTTCATTTATTGCAATGTGAACCAAATCTAACTAGTCAATAAACTCTGCTAATCAACACTATAAAAGCCATATTAAGCTACACCTTGGCTCTAGAAAATGTTATAAAAAGGACTGGCACATAAAATTATATATAGGTTGATATAGATTAACATGTTTGGTGCTTTTTCTTAAGTTACCATATGAAATGAGTCTGTTACTTCTGCCCTCCACCGCGGAAGTGCTGTCATAGTTTCAGCACACAATTTAAATCAAATTAGTCTAAAACTAGGGAGAAAAATTAACAAACGCATGATGCTAAGAATAACTTGGCGAAATTTACAAAACACAATAACATCAATGGTAACATTCCTGTCCTCTTCCCCCTAATCCCCCTCTCCTTCCAATGACATTCTTCAATAGCATGTAAGGCACACGAAAAGGAGATGCGAAAAGAGAAATAAGCACTTCCAGATGCGGGGAATGATATCTGAGGCAGCGATGATGCCTCCAACAAACTTGATTTCTGATCTTTGAATAAATTAGCCAAACACAAAAACGAACAAGAACCTTTATAACTCCTGATAGCCAAGAAGCCGGTGATGTGGCAATTTTTATGTCTACCTCAGGAGCAATCGTCAAGGAAAATTAGTGGAAGTCTATTCACATACCCGAAGACGAGGGAAGAGACTAAACTAATCTTGGGAATTACACTTAACCCAGCCAGCAGCACTAGCTGCTAAGCTGAATCACTTTTTTGGGGCTGTCAAAATGGAAGGTAAATGAATAGGAAACAGAGATATTTGAGCATGTAACCACTGGCTGTGGCCAAACAATGATGTCCATAGGTCCATTTTCATTGATATAGACACAAAGAATGCTTCATCTGGAAAGTTATCTTCATATAACTTTTGCAAATAATAGAATCACAGAATGAATATACAGATGGCGAATCCGAATTACTGTTGACAAAACAAACCTGCACGAACACCAAAGAGATGCTTCAGATAAACAAATGTCCAAGATGCTCGGTAAAACATTGCCTAACTGTCATGTAACACATGATATACAAAACATAGAACCTCTCAAACTGGATACTTGAACAACAAATGTCCACTCAGGATATCAACAAAAAAGGATACTCTTTGATACATGAAGATACAGAAGTATGACAGAACACCCAAGTTTTCTTATTTTAGATAGTAGAGAGGACAACCCCACTGTGTCATTATATTCAGAAACAACACAACTAGTATCGCACTTGGACTAGATATCATTTCAGTGTCCAGGCGATGAAATGATCAATCGTCTTTCTGATGGAAAACAGTAGGCATGCTATTATTACCATTGAGAGCAGCATGATATACTCGCTTCTCTGCCAGGCCAATATCTGAGAGTATTAAATTACCCTGCAAGAACAGAGGAATGCGATCATCCATCAGTACATAAGTGCACAGAGGAATGCAATCATCCATCAGTACATAAGTGCACAGAGGAATGAAATTGCCCGGCATTAATTTCACATGCTTACTTAACATGCCTTGGGAGATTACATGGAGAAAAGACTACTACTTTCTAGAGATAAACATCCGTTGTTTACAGTGTAGAGATCCTGATACTAACTCTCCACTTTCAAGGAACACAAATATAAGTGCACAGAGAAAATGGGTGACTCTCCATATTGTGGAGGACTCCTATTTGCTCTACGACATTTCTACAAAAGATACAAATTCAACACAAGCTCAATATGGGACATGGATTGACATCTCCAGATTGTGGAGATGTTTATCCACAACCTATTTTCTACAAAACCACATCTGATGAGCAAGAAGCAACGAGTGAAATTTCATTCTTACAACAAAGTTCAATGAAGATGTGCTCCCCTAATTGTAGGGAGAAAAAGGCGTAAAACTAGCAAATCATATTCCTAACAGGACTCCAGGGTAGCTTTTATGTTCTTACTCTTTAAATATGATGATTGCACTGTCATTAAGGAAAAATTGCATACAAACCATACCTCATGAGCCATCAACCTCCGGACATTCTCAGCATAAAGTCTAGGGTCATCCTTTTCTTGCTGAGAGGGGTAGTAAACAGGTAACCAGGTTGCCTCCACATAATTTACAAATTGACAGAGAAGGAGAATCACATGCCGAACCTGCAAGAAGAATTGCATTTTCATCCTATCAGTGAGAACGGGTCTTATTTAGTGAACTTTTTTGCAATCAGCAATATCTTCATATATCAGAACAAATATTCAAGTATTGGATACTGAATTTTCCTTGTTGTAATGACTAACTTGGTGCCTCAAAGTTCATCTTCAAATCTATCATTTAACTATTTTGTGGTCAAGAAACCAAGTTTCCCACAAAGACTTAAAATGTTATAGATGATATCTGTATTCTGTTACACCAACTGTCAGAACAGGGAACTCAAAGTTCAGCGTTCATTGCACAAAGNGAACAGGGAACTCAAAGTTCAGGGTTCATCGCACAAAGGCAGAAAAACAATTTGTACATGACTAAATGAAAGAAAATGATACTTGTGAAGTCCAAAAGTAGCAACATAACATGTTTTAAGAAGAACACAAAAGACAACCATGGTGTTAGGAGGGGGCATGAATATAGCCTGTAACAGAGCACAGTATTATGCAACTGCATCAACCACTGAAGAGGAAGTACTACCATGTCTTCTTAAAATGACAAAGCAAGTTTTAGATCACCAAATACTTACCCCAGATATCGAGTCCCACGCAGGACTTAATCTCTGGTATGGATATCTTAATATCACAGGCTGCACCGGAGCTCCTGACAGAAATGCACCAGACTTGAACGGAAGGAGAAAATCACCATTTGTGGTTGTGCCTTCTATAAGGATAAAGAAAACAGATCAAAACTGTAGTAAACCATCAAAAGTCAATCTTTGCAAGGATATCCAAGAAATGAAATAGAGGGTGTTTGTGTTAGCTTAAAAGCTGGTCAAACTAGATTTTAAACACTTTTTTGTTTATTTTGGTGTATGGGCAGCCCGGTGCACTAAGCTCCCGCTATGCGCGGGATCCGGGGAAGGGCCGGACCACAAGGGTCTATTGTACGCAACCTTACCCTGCATTTTAGCAAGAGGTTGTTTCCACCAAAAGTGCTTTGAAGCCAAAAGCTATAAGATGGGCACCCCCAATTAATGACTTTTCAACTTAAAAGCTCTTTAGGTTTGACCAACTTAAAATCAGCTCAAGCACTTAAAAAGTGTTTTTCAAGGTAGAGACTTCTAAGGGTATTAAAGAAGTTTTTTAATATTCCAAGTAATACCCAAGGTTTAGATACATTGGAAGACCAAAAATAATCACTAAGCAAATGTTTGAACTCTTTAAATAAGTCTAATAGATTCTATGCATATTTTGTGTGAGCAGTTGGTCTGTCTGCTCAATGAACAACTTTACATCATTGAAATTAGTAGACCATGTCCAGAAGGAAATGAATTAAAGACATCTCAAAGTCTGGTACCAGCACTGGGAAGAATGAAGTGCAAACCGCTAGAAGAATCTTGGAGTACTATTTAAGGTGAAAAGGCTATCCAAAAGCAAATAAAAGTTTAGGCACACTGATAACATTAATTAAATGCCAAAGATGTGATATCTCTCATCTATCTCTCTTTCACTATGCAAAAGAACCCATATCTACTATCACTCATCTATGAGCTAATCAGTGTTAAACAGATAACAAGATTGGTAGAAGAAATGTGCAGTAAAATGTGTGAGAGAATTCAGTGGGTTGGCACACTAAAAGCAACATTGACCTGGAAAAAGCAGCATGATTGGTGCAGATTTGTTCTGGTGAGCTTCACGAATCCTTTCATTTACGACACCTGCAAATTTACAAGTTTAATCCTAAGGACGTCGCAAAAATTAAAGCTGCATACCAGATGCAAGGAAGGAGAGGGTAAAAGACAAGGGGAAAGATGGAAAGGGGTGGAAAATATATGAACAAAGACTATCCTCCTGCGCTTTTCACTACAAATAAGAGAAAGCACCATATTTTTGCCCTTTTCGGCTTACTTGCTTTTATAGACAAGACACTGTAAATATAAGATCCTTACTAATTTTAGTCACCTATGGGTAGAGCCTAGCATTAAAAGTTAAATAACATTTGAAAAACAGTTCTACTACGTCTCTGCGAGAGTCATGGTGCAGAAGATTTTACCTTGAAAGGCTTCCGTACATGCCAAGTCTATAAAGCCATAAATGTTTCCATGACTCCAAAACCATTTTGTAAAAGAAATTCAGCCGTCACTTGACCCGAAGAGACTCTCTCTATCCTATTTTACCTAACATCTTTTCACTAAGCATAAAGTTTAAATTATTAATTTAACTAGTATATTATATAAGGAGTGATAAAGGACCTTTTTTGTCATTTACATAATGCAAT